TTCACCGTCAGCTAAATGGCATGGCGGCGCACAGTGTGTTTTTTTTTGTCATGTGGGGAGGAACAGGATTTTTCCCGCGGGGGATGAAGGGACAAAAAACGGGGCTTTTGCAACCCCCCCTCTTTTTCCCCCCCACCCAACACACACACTCGATGAGGCCGTTTTCTCTGGGCGGGCCGGAGGGAACGGCCTCATTCAGAACACTGCGCTCGCGAGCCACATGCGGCTCTTTGGCCCCTTGAGTGTGGCTCTTGCACAAAATACCATGTGTGGGCGCCCACATACAGTGCGATTGAAACTTCGTGGCCCATGCGCAGAAGTCGGTATTTTGTGGAAGAGCCACACTCAAGGGGCCAAAGAGCCGCATGTGGCTCGCGAGCCTCGGTTTGCCGACCACGGCCCTAGACCATACATTCCTTGAGGGGCAATTTATAAGCATTTATTAAATGTTATTGATTTGAAGAATAAATAGAATGGTGTCTGGTTGGTTTCTGTCTGTACTGAGTCTGAAGACCAGAGAACTATGATGGGAGGCGCTATTTTAATAAGAAATGTCCCAGACCGGTGGTCAAAGTCCAACACTTTTTGGAAAATGAGTATGCTCCCCAGTGATGTTTCAGGGGAGGTGGATGGTTTCTCTCTCTCCAGGTTCAGTCTGGTTCAGGTCCTTTGGTTGGCATGGCTTCCACATCAGCCTCTCTACTTTATTAGCCTTGCCAGCTCTGCTTTTACTGGAGAGGGAATTTTAGGATGTTCATTTTCATGCCACTATAATTTTGAGAAATTATTATTAAAGTATTTGAGCTAATACTTTTGTCCCCATTGAGGCTCAACTACTTTTCAGTTAATTTCCCCTTTACAGCCAATGAAACTTAAAAACTTGCAAAGACGCCCATCCCTAAGGCAGGCCCATGGCTGAGGCCTTGCTCTCGGAGTCCCAGCTTCCTGAGCTAAGTGAGGCTCTGGGGATGATGGAGCAGCTGCCAAATCCCACCCCCAGATGACAGCAGCAGCTGTGGGGGAGGTGGTGCTGGAAATGTGTGTGTTCCCTGTGTGCACACAGCAGGCAAAGAGACACATCCTCATTAGTTTTGGAAATGACATTTCCAAACCCTACCTGCCTACTCAATTCTTTTGCTAGAAGGGTGAGGGGAGGCAGGTGGATGTGACGAGGAAGTGGATTAGAGTGAGGGAAAAGTGGATGCGGAAAGAGCAGGTGGGAGGCGGTGGCAGCAGGGACCAGGGCTGGGATGGAGATGGAGGGACCAGGGCTGGGATGGAGATGGAGGGACCAGGGCTGGGATGGAGATGGAGGGACCAGGGCTGGGATGGAGATGGAGGGACCAGGGCTGGGATGGAGATGGAGGGACCAGGGCTGGGATGGAGATGAGGGACCAGGACTGGGATGGAGATGAGGGGCCAGGGCTGGGATGGAGATGGAGGGACCAGGGCTGGGATGGAGATGAGGGACCAGGGCTGGGATGGAGATGGAGGGCAGTAAACTGGTTTGAGGTTATTCTGAGCTACAGTCTGAAGGACTTGCTGACCAACTGGATGTGGGAAGTGAGGGCGAGGACGAGAGGAGGGTGAAGTCCCAGCTTTTGGCCAGTAGGTGGACAATGCAGCCACTGAAATAAGAAACAGACAAGTTGAAGTAGACATACGGCAGATTAATTCTGTTTCCCAGAGGCTGAGATTGAAAAGCCTGCAGGCATCCAGTGGAGACGTGAGGAAGGCAGTGGGACCTGGGGACTGGGGATCAGAGGAGTGTTCGGAGGCATCGGCGTACAGACCATGGCTACAGCCTGGGAGTGAGTCGATTTCCGGGGGGGGAAGGGGGGACAGGAACACCCAGAGGGACAGCCGGCAGGTAGGAAATGTCACAGAACACCACGAGGGGGAAGGCAAAGCAAAGAGTGGGTGAGGGTGGCAGGACCCCTGATAGCTCAGGGGAGCCAGGATGGAGGAGGATCCACTAGCCTTAGCAAGAGGCCACCTGGCGGGCTGGCTTCTGGAAGTTTGGGGAGTTGATGAGAGCAGGGGACATGCAGACATGAAATGTTCAAAACTCTCCCAAGGAGTCTGGCAGTGAAGAGGCGACAAGGGATGGGACGTGACCTCAGAGGGCTGCAGGGGTGCGGCAGGTGGTGTTGTATGTGACGGAAGGTTTCCAAGGCTGATAGGAGGAGCCCCTGAAGAAGGCAGGCTGGAGATGTGAGGCAGAACAGGCAGTATGGATGTTCACTGAAGAGAAAACAGAGCTGAAGGGGTGGGTCCAGGCTGGGGAGGAGGAGGCAGCCATCTTTCCTTGAAGGAGGTCTCCACCAGCCGCCATGAAGGTCGGAGAAGGAATCGGTGCCTCTCCCGTCTCTCCCACGCAGTAGCCAACAGGCTATTCCATGTGCGGCTCCTCAAAGCTGCCTTTGCCACCACCCAGTGTGCAAGAGTATTGTGTACAAACAGAATCTGAAAGTTACAGTTGCTAGGTGACTACCCCAAAATGGAGGTGGCATGTAAATATAAAATAGGCTAAATTTACATCTTTATAAAACAGCATTTCTTAACACGTCCAACATGCTTTAGAGAATAATCTACACGGAACGTTGGCGTCATCAGTAATTCTGGTCGTGGGACCAGGAGGACAGAAATGTGCCCAGCGGGGACGCCCACACGGCCAGGCTGGTGTGACATCCCCTTTCCCATCACAGAGCCCTGGTTTTGCTCATTTCCAAGGTCAGTAAGTGCTTTGGTCTAAGATATATGTATATATTGATTTCAGAGAGGAAGAGAGAGAGGAGATGGAAACATCAATGATGAGACAGAATCGTCAACTGGCTGCCTCCTGCACACCCCACACTGGGGATCGATCCCGCACGTGCCCTTGACCGGAATTGAACCCGGGACCCTTCAGTCCACAGGCTGACGCTCTATCCACTGAGCCAAGCCAGCTAGGGCAAGAGATGAGTCTTGACCAGTCCAAGCCAATCAGGTTCAGGAAGGGGCCTGGGGCACAGTGCTCGCCACTAAGACTGCAGATGTCGGCGGGAGGAGGGGCTTCTGGCAAAGGCCTGTCACTCAGGACAAAGCAGCGCAGGGAGGAAGCATGTCTGCTTCCTGCCTCAGAATGCAGTTCCCGGAAGATGGCGGCCATCGCGGGAGAAGCAGGGAGTGCCCAGGAGGACAGAGCAAGTGGAAAGAACAGCCCTTCTGTGTGATGCCATGAGCTGTTCCACCAGCCAACCCCAGGCCACCTTCCCCAGGGGCTTCTCACCGTGTGAAAGAAGACATTTTCCTCGTGCCCAGCCATTTCTGACTACAGCTGGTAGCACGGCAGCCAGGCCGAAACGACGAACTGCCACAAGCAGGGGCCAGGGAAGGTTGGAAACAGGAGAGAGGAAGCCCTTGCCATTCTAGGAACCTGAGTCATTTTATTATGAGACTCACTGATTTAAAGTAGGGGAGGGGGCGGGTTCTGGTGGGAAGGCAGGAAGGAGGGAAACTGGAGGAAAGGCAAGCAGCCAACAGAGTCTGAGACAAGCTCCCTGGGTGGCTCTTGGCCCTCCACCCCCTGGGCAGTGGCTGCCTTCATCGCTCTAATCCCCGCGTCCTTGATCATTAACTTCACTTCCCTGCCTGTGACTCATTTCCGGTCTCAGGCGACAGGATTCTGTGAATAGTTCCAGGGAGAGAAAAACACAAATACCCATTACTCACTGAGGACGTCTGCTCTGTCCACGGTCGGTACCGACAGTTCACTGCTGGGCGAGGCCCTGGTTCCTGTCCAGATGCCTCCAGAGCACAAATGCCTGTTTTCCGCACCCCAGTGCCTCACCCACCCCGGGATTTACAAATCACCTCCTAGGTCTCCTACACACAGTTTCAACCTTCCTGCTCCATGACCCTGGTCAAGCCTCCAGGAGAGCGACACCTTAACGCTGCCCTCCTCCCCTCCTCAGCCCGGCCCATAACCATGACTCATCATCCCTCGGTGGGGCCAATCTCACCTAAACAGGCCCTGGGACCAATGAGTTCCCTGCAGGCTGTGACACGCACCGTTACCTCCACTTCCTGCCTGATGGGCTCCTCTCCAAGCACCGGTCTGATTGCCCATTCACTTCAGCTCACAATCTCCACCCAGGTGCTCACGTTTCCCTGAATGACTTCAGTTGCATATCAGCTCGAGGTCCAACTAACTCTCCCCCATGCACCACGTGCCCGGTCAGCATGTCACCTCTCCGCTCAGGACTCTGCTGCCATGACTCTCGCTACAGCACTGATTCTGGGAGCAGACAGGTGAGCTGGACACCATCAAACACACACAGTGTGTTCTCCCTGCTCAGGCTTTCACCCTGCTGCCTCCTGGGGGTGCCCAATGACCCCCAACTCTGCTCTCCCAATCCTCTCATTCCTGCAGCCTCAGCTCAGACCTCACCTCTTCCCGGAAGACTTGGCAGCCAGCTCTCTCCTACAATCCCCCGTCCCACACTCTTTAGCACCCAAATGCCTTGATAAAGCGTCTTTCCTCGGGCTGGAGCACCCTGCCCGGACACAGCCACGTCCCCCACGTCTTGGCGCTCCGCACAGTACGGGCTAGTCCTGAGCACTAGGGAGGGAGGAGGAAACTATCTACTAACTTCTGGGATGGAGATAACCATTTCCCAAAGAAGTGTCCCTGAGCTGATGTCGCCATCAGCTAGTCCCCGGCCTGGAAGCAGAGGAGGAGCGTGGGGTGGGGCAGAATGGAACCTCATTTACCACTGCGGCTTCCTCCAGTGGAGTCGCTCGGAGCCAGGGGAGGTGGATGCGGCTTGTCCATCAGCATGCCCGATGAGGGGGCTCCTCCCAAGGGGACAGGGGGGATGGAGTAGGGGCCGGGGACACAGGACACAGAGGGAGGGTACCCGGCCTTGGCTGCTTTCCCTGCTTCATACACTGTGGAGGGAGATGAAGAGCAAGAGATTATACGGCCCCACCCTCACAACCCTCACACCTCACGTCCCTGAGGGTGCTCTTTAGGGACCTCCTGGATGTGTGCCTATTTGTGCATGCATGCACATGTATGTGCCTATGCGTGCAGGTGCATACTGTCTCCCAGAGCATGTGTGTACATGTGTATGTTATGTGTGCCTATGTGTGTACACATGTTAGCACATGCACATGTATGTGTGTCTATTTGTGCATGTGCCTGTGTGTGCTTATGTGCATGTGCCTATGTGTGCATGTATGTGTGTGCATGCGCCTTGTGCGCCTGTGTGTGTGTGTTCTCCTAGGCCTGAGTCACTTAATTGGAAGCACTCCCCGCATTGCCTTGGACTCCTCCAGCTCCGTCAGCAGACGACATCAGGAATTACAGTGTTTGGCACCTGGCAACTGAGTCACTAGCAGCAGCGGGAGCCGTCCCAGCAGCTCCGTGACAGCAGCGGCCCACTCTTAGCCACACTGTGTGTAGGCGGCCCATCCCCGGGGCTGCCCGGGGCAGCTTCCAGGGGAGGCGGAACCGCTTCTAGTGGCAAAGCAAGCAAGGGGCTGCGTGTGAGCCCAAAAGCAGAGCAGACAACCTGACCCTCCCGGAAGTGCGTTCTTCCCGAGAGCACTAACCGACCACGTGTCTCTCTCCTGCGAGCTGTCTGGTAGACAGCAGGGGTTCCAAACGTGATGCCTACCGGGCCTGGCACCTGGGGAATCCCCAAAGGAGGACTCGTTCTTCTGTGGGCCCTTTGGTCATGGGAGCACATAAAACCCGCCAGGGGCTGGATGGTACCCAGGACTGTGGTCTGCACACTCTGCTGTGAGGGGGTCTCTGCTGTGAGAGGCGTGACCGGAGAAGGTTCCTCGAGTCTGAACGCCCCGGGAGAGGGCAGGCGCCTCTCCCACAGCCTCAGCCTCCTGCACCTGCCCTTCCTGCAGCCAAGCCTCAATGAGACGGCACATGCTGGTGATGGGCATGGACAAGGATAGAGAGGTGAGTGGATGTGAGACAGCACACAAGGGTGTCGGCTCTGGAAGCGGGGCTCCCGCGGGGAGGGAGCACGGGATGAGCGACACTTTGGGCGGAAGGAAAGGAGGCGGAGAAGGAAGTCAGGCACACAGCCGCCCAGTGGGTCACGGATCCTCGCGGGCTGCCCCCCGCCCCCGGGGCCCTTTACTCACAGGCCTGAGGGCAGCAGCAGGACTCCGGGCAGCACGGGCAGCGGATGTAGCAGCAGCAGCTGTGCGGGCAGCACTGGCACCAGCAGATGCCCACCAGGACGAAGAAGAGGAAGATGCCCAGGATCACCAGCCCCACAAACACCCACTCTGGAAGGACGCACAGAGAAACCCGCGTCAGGGTGGCCCGCTCGCCGGCCTCCCCATGAAGAGGCAGACGGGGGGCCTGGGACAGAGGGCACAGAGCCCCCAAACTCGGGAGGCACTGGGAGAGTAAGAAGTGCAGACCCCCCGGGGCTGGGGCGTGAAAAGGATGGTCACCAGGTCCTGTGAGCACAAGCCACGGTGGGCTCAGGGCCCGCCCCGGGAAACGGGTTTACCATGTTGACTGCAGTGTCAGGACTGGTGTGGGACAGGAGCACAGACTGGTGGCTGGGGAGGGGACGGGTCTGCTGAGCTAGAACGTGGGTTCTGTGTGTACATGTCCTGGGGAGTCGTTGATCTTGTCACTGGAAGTGTAAGCCCTGAGAAACTTTTCCATGTCTACCTGGTGCAAATCAGAACGTATTTAGGTGGTCTGTGTCCTTATGTCTCCATCCATTCCCCTGCCCATCGCCCCAGAACGCCTTTCCTGAACTCGGCATCGGGGCTAATACCTGCCCAGCGAACCATGACCAGAGACAAGAGAGCGGCTCCCAGAGAGAAGACACGGCCCCGCCCCCGGCTGCTGACTGGCTGGAGGGCCCAACTCCCCCCTGGCAGCGTGGGAGGCAGGAGTGAGCCTCGGTTTCCCTTAAAAGCTAAAAGACTAAAGCAATTTCGATTGAAAATCATCTACCAAAATCCCTTTACAATGGACTTTACGCGTTATTTTCTTAAATTTTGGGTATTAAATACTCCTTCGGTTAAGTGGCCATTCAGTTAGAGCTTGAAAATGTGACGTTTTTGTTACGTAGGTTTGTGATCATGGCAAAGCTATTGATTGATCTTTGTTTAGACGGATTTCCTCATCCCCCTGAAACACGTTCAAAGCGGCCAGGTCCCCGCTCTGCAGACAAGAACGAGAGACCTCGTCACTCCTGTGGTCCGGAGAGCCTTCCTGCTGAGGCGCTAGATGGCTGAGGGCTTGGCTGGGCCTTGGAAATAACAGACCACGTACCCCGAGACAGTGTGAGCCCTGAGGCTTCGGTGAGGTGTGTGGCGAGGTGGCCACAGGCGGGTCAGGCAGCCAAGGAGGAGAGACTGCAGGTGCCCTTGAAGAAACACTGTTATCCGAGAAAGGATTCTTGCAGCCAAAAGGGAGGGGCATTCGGGTATCCAGGGGCGGAGATGAAAAATACAGTAACTCTTTCTTGGGGGTATAATCTCTCATTTGAAGAAGCGGCGCAGTGTGACCTTGTTCCTTTGACGTACCAACGGACAATTCTGGATAAGGGGATCACAAAGCGCAGCTCTGTGTGACCTTGGGATGAACATGAAGAAGAACGTCTGTACTGGGTCCGTCAGCTGTTGGGAAAGGACCAGGGAATTCACGGGAGAACAATGAGGGAAGCGCTACTGGGAAGACTCTGGGTGTTTCTGAAGCCTTGACTCAAATCAAAACCGATGGTGGTGAATATTCTGTATATTCTGTATCTCACTGCTGCTGCTAACTCTAGGCAGCTCTGCAACCTTGGGGAGAAACCTCCAAAGCAAGAGGGAACCCTTTCCTACCCCGAGTCTGGATGTGCCGCCCCCTGGTCCATCCCTGTTCTGTCCGTGCCTCTTCCAGGCGGCACCAACTTAATGGCGGCTTGTCTAGGCTGCTGCGTTCAACTTAAGCTACACGGAGAGACAGAGGTGTGCATTTGGGACAGGTGTCCCTGAGAGAGTCCACAGCCCCTGCTAGGACTTAGGGCCCCAGAAAGCCCTGAAGTTATATACAAAGCAGAGTAGGTATGTAGATGCGTGTTCTTCAAGGGAGGAGGGTGCATAGCTTTCATTAAGTTGGAAGAAAAAGTTCTGATAAAGTTATAAAGGGAAATTCAGAGTAACAGGGTGGCACACTAATGACCGGGTACACATATAACTTAGGGCATAAGGAATGCAGACAAGTGACGACTCTGTTCAGGATACTTAGTGCTATTTGGGTGCAGCTGAGACATGCCTGGCACGTGTGGTCAGGACTGGGTACCCATCTCAGCCATTTTTAATTATCACTACTTTTTTAGGGTCTAGTAACAGAAGAAATGCAATTGAAAGCCTCTCCCAATGGGCTTAGTTCATCCTGGAAAAGACCACAGACATATATAGACAAATGTGCAAATACATTAAAGGAGCAATTAGTGACTAATGCAGAAGCCAGACAGATGGAATGACAGCAAATTAAGCAAACAAAGAGTTAAATGACTGAATACCTGGCATAATCTCCACAGCGAAGCTGGGCAAGAGGTCAGCAAGCAGCCCTGTCCTGCCTAGAAGAGGTAGAAGGGGAAGAGAAGGAAAGAGGTTACTCCCAGGGAAACACAGCCTGGGCCTGGCTGCGGCAGCGCCACCCGCATGGGGCCTGGCCCAGGCTCTTGGTGGTACGCGAGGCACATCCAGCGGTGGGGCTCGGACAAGAGAATGACCTTCCCTGTCGACCTCTGGCAGCTACGTAAGTGAACTCTGCACCTACATCAGGTGGAAGCAGAAGCAGAACTTCCCCTCCAACCACCTATAGGAGGAGGGAATGCCTGCCTCACCCACCAAGGGCCTGACCCAGCAGACAGACACGCCCCATCTCCACTCACTTATGCGTCCTTCTCGCACCTTTTATTGGAAAAGTCCACCCCGTCCGTATCCAGACGGTCAGCCTGCATTTCCATACATCCACACGCATCCCTACACCCATCAAAAACAAAGTGCATATTTAGTTTTAACTCGGAATGATCTCGGTATATAATTCTAATTATAGCCTGGAGATATTTCAATGACTAAAATTTCAAAGGCAAAGAAGAGATAAGCTAGATCGGGTACACGCTCCTCTCCTCTGGCTTCGGAAATGCTCTGTACGGTATGGCTTTCCCATATGGCACCCACAGCTGGCGTGGCGTGGACCCAGCTGCCTTCCGCGTGACGAGGCAGGGAAGCGTAAGGGCTGGTGTCGGAACAAACAGGTGCCCCTCGAGGCTCGCTGGCAAGGAGCTGTGCAGGAGGGGAGCCACTGGGAGATGTGGGGAAGGAGGCCAGCCCTGTTATAAACTCGCCTCCTTTATAGGACGAGGTGCCAAGCGCTTGCACCACGTTCTCATATCACAGTCGGTGGGAAGGCCCAGCTGGGACTTCCCCGCACCAGACGCCCAGCCACACTGGGGTCTTGCTCATCACTGAGGTGCGCTGGGAAACAGCTCTCAAGCCGCCTCCTGCCAGGCTTGGGATGGCAAAGGGTCACCCTGGCACCTGAATGCTGCTTCATTTACGTGTGTGACAATGCACCTAGAACAGCTCTTCCAGTACAAATATAATGTGAGCAGCGGGTCACTGTAGGGTTTCTAGTAATCATGTTAAAAGAGCAAAAAGAGGCCCTGGCCGGGCAGCTCAGCTGGTTAGAACATCATCCTGATAAACCAAGGATGCGGGCTCGATCCCCAGTCAGGACACATACAAGAAGCAACCAACGAATGCATAAATAAGTGGACCAACAAATCAATGTTTCTCTCTTTCTCTCTAAAATCCATCAGTTAAAAAATTTAAAACGAGTAAAAAGACTGAAATTAATGGCTATTTTTACTTATACCAATGCAGCCAAAGTGTGAGCACTTCCCAGGCCCGTATCACCTCAACTGTGGGGTCTGTTTCATGCCCGTGGACTTGGTTCATTCAGAAAACAGCCAGCCCTTCCTGTTCAAGTACTAGAGGTGGAGTCGAGGAAAGTCACTCACGTGTAGTTTACATTTTGAGGCGAAAAGCCATGGCTGGGCACTGGCCCCTCCTTCCTCAAGCCGCCCCACCGAAGAGCAGCCCCGACAGAGGTCCAGGAAAAGGCGCGCCCAGCCGCGGGGAGGACACTGTCCTGGGGGCTCAGCGTTAGGGAGGCGGAAGGGATCTTGGCTCACTTTGCTGTTCTTGGCTCCCCTGACTCTGCAAGGCCAGTGCCTCCTGGGAGAGGTTGGGTCAGAAATGTGGACAGGGCTTCACAAAGCTTGTCACTCGGACAGAAGGACAGGCATCCCGCTCCTCATTCTCCCTGAAGCCACAGCCCAGAGCTGATGCTCCTGAGGCCGGGACGGCTTCCCACGTGCCCCGTGTGGTGGCCCCGTGGCCGGGTGGTACCCTCTCGCAGTCCAGGGGGGAACATGACAGGGCTTTCGCCTGAGGACAGCCGGAGTCAGAGGACAGCAGACACTGCCACCCATCATGTCAGCAGTGAGACCATGCACGTCACTGGCTCGTACACCGTGACTTATTTTTTGGATTAAAGGCACTTTGAAAGGGGGGTTTACACTGGGATCCTGTATTTCTGAAAAGCATTTTGCTTCCATCTTCTTGCCTAGCGATTCCTGAGAACTGCCTTTGGCAGCTGGACATGCGGTATCTTCCCTTCCTAGTCTAACCCGTCACGTCCAATGAAGGCCTGACCGGGAGTCCACACAAGGCAGCAAACGCCCTGCTTTCCGGGCCTTTCCCAGCCGGGATCTCGCTCATCCTCCAGGGTTCGGTGTAAGAGCGGCAGTTACATGCCACTGAATGTCTGAGAAAAGGATGGAGAGACGACATTGCAAACAGGGCCCCGTTTTCTCTTTTCAAACATCGTTCAAGCTATTATAGAAAACGGTGTTCATGAAGCTTGGTTTCCCCGAACTTGGCAGAATCCATCACCTTAAAGACATTTCCACAGGAGTCACCCCAACAGCTCAGGCACACGAATCATTAGCACCAGCACCAACATGAGCACCATTTCATAGCAAAGCATCACACACGTCGCAGCCCACAATACTCACACACCTGGGCTTGAATGATCATGGCAGCAACGTGCACAGTGGATAAAACAACTTACGTATCGTCCCACACAGTCCCCACGGCAGCCGCTGTTTGCCACAGACACCTTCAAGTTACACCTGAACGCTTTGTACTATTCCTCGGACCCATTACTCCTGATTGTCTCCAATTCATTCATTCATTCATTCATTCATTCATTCATTCATCAAGAAATGTATATGGAGCCAGGTGGAGACACAGAGGGGAACTAGACGCGATCCCTACACTCTCGAGGCTCTCGGTCTCGCCTGCAGCCTGTCCAATGGTGTGAGTATAAGAACTCGGTGTTGGGATCTGCTTCAGCGTCACAGGACTTACCTGAGGTCAGGGACCGTCCTCCTGCCGCGTGCAGTGGTTTCACCAGCCTTCCTTGCATTTTAACATCGGGTTCCACCTGGTCCTGGGACCTTCCCCCAGAGACATGGCCTGATAGTCACAACAAACCCTGTCCTGTGACATCCCTGAGACGCGAGTGCTCCTTTCCCGGTAGGCCAGGCCCTTCCATGGACTTACTCCTTTCTTCCCTAAGATAACAGCCCATCACTTCTCACTGCCCTTGTTTGTGTGAGTCCTCGTCCCACACAGCCTCCCCGCCTCCAACGTGGATTCCGACAGCCGTAAGGAAGCTGCGCTGAGAAGGTGGGTGCGCCAGGCTTGTAGGACCCCGGGCACCCTGCCTCAGAGCTGGTCTCCGGCTGCAAGGAGCACCGCACTGAGGACGAAACCCGCAAGAGGAGGCACCTCACCCTCTGGACCGGGAAGTGTTTCCAGTAGCAAATCCCCTCTGTGGGGTATGCAGGCTTCTGATTGGCTGCTCACAAGGGTGCCCTTGTCCACCCCAGATGAAAATTGGCTGTTCATCAGCGCAGGAAGGGAGCATTCGTTCACTGAGCCCTGGTCCATGTGCTGGAGAAGGGGGAGCACCCTGGACTCAGGGCTCAATGGTAGGAGCATCCTCAAGGCACCGAAACATCCCGAGGGGACTGAAGGCCTGCCCCACCTCGCACCCCACAGGTTGTAACCCCCAGGCTGGGGTATGTGTAAGGCGGCCATCACAGAGATACAATGTGCTTACGAGCTTAGCGAAAAAGAGTGTTTGTCTCTACTCTAACTTAAATCCAAGCCCTGATTACGAGTCCAAGCCTTCAGAGAGCAACGGTTAATCACGTTTCCTTTGTCCTGGTGAGGCTGCCGCTACAGACAGCGTGGTCACCTCCATTCCTTTCCCTGCGCTTATTCACTTGGAGTCCTCCTGGGCTTTGCAATGTTCTACACAAATGACCCCTGGCGCTTTCTTCCCCTGCCCTGAGGTTCCCTCTTCTCCCTCTGCCTAACGCACAGGTGGGCTTCCTCCCACAGCCAGGCCTTCCTCAGACCCCAGGGTCAGTTTTCAGGGACGCACAAGACCCACCCTGCTCTCTCAGCTCCTAACCCCCTCAAATGTTTCTTTTCAAGTCTTTGAGGAGAGAAGATACTTTTCTCTGGCTCTTTGAAGTGTAAACTTGTTTCTATGGCTATTTGGAATCCCAAATAGATAGGAAATTTCCCCAGGGCACACACATCCCTGCTTTTATTCTGTATTCCCCCGGCAACCATGCATTCAGTGAGTTTATGATTACCCGTCACGAATGCGGAGCTAGCCTCCCTCTCTTTATATGTATTTATAGACTATGTATGCAAGCCTTTCCTATGTGAACTCTTTTTATGTCCTTTACATTTTAGTTCACTTTAAACTATATTGAATAATGCTGACATTGGATTCTCTCCAATACTAATAATGACTAGTATTAGACCATCTGCAATTAACTGTTCATAAATGCTCTGGGCTTTTGGCAGTGATTATAAGGTTGGTCCAAATCACTGACTACTATTCACACAGAAGTCAGATTTGATAACTAGAAAAGATCTTGGAGGTCATCTAATCTGTAACCCACCCATGTTTTTAGGAACCTGAGGCTCAGAGAAGTTACAAATTTTACCAAAGTCACACAGCTGACTAACGATCAAACCAAGAGTAGAAACTAGATCTACTTGCCCATTCCGGTATTTATTTATTTTTTTATTTTATTACATTTTATTTTATTTGCCAATACCTCACTCCCTCTCCAGATTTGCTTGTTCTTAAATTTAACTGCTTCCTCATCTCCTGGTATTTGCAGTGAGAGACCCTCAAATGTGTTTGTGGCATCAATGCCCTACTTAAATAATTAAAGTGTAATTTTTGGATGTAGAAAATGTTAGAGGTGGTTAAAAATTTCAGCACCTTTTACAGTTGCAGCCAGAAAATGATTACTGAGTAGTCGTGACCCTATGATCTAATGAAAGGGCATTCACCATGCTGCTACAAACAAATAAACAATGATAATACAGAGCATACCAGATGTGCAAGGCCACTCTGAGCATGGGAATCTTAATCAGAATGTTCAAGGCTAAGATACTATATGCAGGTGAACAG